AAGTGCCACAACTGTAGCACAGTTTGCTGTACTGGTCATTGTTGTGGCTTTAAAGCCAGGGTTGGACCACTGATTTTCTCCCTTAGCAGCTTACATAGTGTCCTCTAAAATGGTGAAAGCTGGTCTTTAGGTAAGAGGCTTCCAAATCACTTCCAGCTCAATTGCTCCAAGTCCTGTGTTCAAAGAATGTCCTGTCTTCAGCAATAGGGTCTTCAACTTCTGGGAGGCAATCAAGGCTCTGGCAATAACCTGTGGTATTTTGGGAGTCTCTTGGGCTACCCTGACCAACAACTCAATGGGAGGCTTCTCCTGTCTGGCACTGTGTTTCTTCTTATATAGCCTTCAGCTGTACACATGCACAGATATTTTTCAGTAGGCTTTTGAACTAACATATTTCTGTTTTCACACCACCTAAGCACTTTTCTCTCTAAATCTCCCTTCCCCCAAAGTACCCCAATTTTCCACTTGATAATACCTATTACTCCCCCTCCCTTGAGCCCCTTCTTCCCCTTTAGGCCCCATGGCTCCTTGTATGTCCTTCCTTCCTCCCTTCCCAGTTAAATACCCCCATTTTCCCCATTTCACCCTTGGTAACACCTGTCTTGTATTGTCCCTCTCTTGGGCTCATTCTTTACCTTTGCCTCCATGATTTCTTTCCATTTTTCTGGCTCCTGGGGTTACATGAGGATACATACTCACATATAAGGATTTGGTGCTAGAATTCACAAATGAGAGAGCATGTGACACTTGTTTTTGTTACTTCACTTAGTGTAACAGTTTCTAGTTCCATTCACTTACCTGCAAATTTCATGACTTCATCTTTACCACTGCATAGAACTTCATTGTGTAAATATTTTTCATTATCCACTCATCAGTTAAGGGACATTTAGGTTGTTTCCATTTCTTAGCAGGGACGTCTGGGGGTCTCAGGCAAGACAATCAGGAGGGGGGGGCCTAGGGCTAAGGCAGGGGTGGGACATCTTGGGAAGGATCTAACTAGCTAGGCAGAATAAGTGTGGGGCCTGAAGCAGTTCGTTTTTTTAAAATCTACATTCTGAGTCTGCCTTATTTAGCCTAATAAGACCTCCAGTTCCATTTACTTTTTTGCAAATGACATAATTTTGTTCTTTATAGCTGAGTAAACTCCACTGTATACATACACCATGTTTCCTTTACCTATTCATGTGTTTGTGGGCATCTAGGCTGCTTCCATGACTTGGTTATTGTAATGCCACAATACTGCCACAGGGTGTGCAGGTATTGTGACATCCTTAAACTCCTTCAGGTAAGCACCCAGGAGTGAGTGGTGTGTATCATATGGTGGCTGAACATCCACAATGACTGCAGTCGTGTCTTCACTAGGCTGCAGTCCTATCAACTACATTTAAGGGTTCCTTTTTACTTGACATTACTGTTTCTTGATGGCAGCACTGAGAATCTCATTTGATTTGCATTTCCCCAATGCTACTAAGGACATTGGTCATTTTTTCATGTATTACCAGTGTGTGTATGTCCCGGTGCATGTGTGTGCTACTGCACACAGATGCCAAAGGTCAGCCTCATGTGTCATTCCACAGGAGCCATTGACCTTGTTTTTCACTTTGACCTGAGGCTCACCAATTAGGCTAGGTGGGCCAGCCAGCACACCACCATGCCCATTTTTCACATGGGTGCAGGGGGTCAAACTCAGGTCCTCAATATTACATGACAAGCATTCTACCAACTGAGCAGTCTCCCCAGACTCGTACTTGAGAATTGTCTGTTCAATTCATTTGCTAATTTATCATATTCTAGAGGGTTGTTTAAGTCTTTAAATACTGTTTGGTCTCTGTCAGACGAGGAGCTAGCAAAAACTCTGTAACACTCTGTAAGCTGTCCCTTCATCCTGTTTCCTTTACTGTGCAGCTTTTAACTTTATATAACATCATTTTTCAATTCTAGCTGCATTTCCTGGGCTACTGAAGTACTACTCAGAAACAGGCTTGTGCAGTTATTTTCCCTAGGTTCTCTTCAACAGTTTCAAAGCTTCGGGTCTTTGATCTATTTTGAGGTGATTTTTGTACATGGTGAGATCTGGATCTAGTTCCATTTTTCATAGCACCATTTGTTGAAGAGGCTCTTTTCTCTATCATATGCCTTTGGCACCTCTGTTAAGAATCAGGCGGCAGCAGGGCATGGTGGCGCACACCTTTAATCCCAGCACTTGAGAGGCAGAGGCAGGCGGATCTCTGTGAGTTCAAGGCCAGCCTGGTCTACATAGTGAGTTCCAGGACAGCTGGGGCTACAGGGAGACCCTGTCTCAAAAAGACCAAAAAAATAAAAATAAAAAATGAAAATCAGGCAGCTGTAGCTGCATGGGTATTTCTGGATCCTCCACCCTACTGCAGTGGCCTCTGTATGGCTTTATTCCAGTGCCATGCTGGTTTTGTTACTGTGGCTTTGGAGAACACGATATTGAATACTGTGATGCCGCCAGCATTGCTTTTTTTGCTCAAAATTACTTTGGCTATTTGGAGTCTAATAGAAAAAATTTTTTTTGTTTTTTTTTTAATGTGTATGAGTGTTTAAGTGCAACTATGTCATGAAATGCCCAGAGGTCAGAAGAGGACATTGGATCCCCTGGAATTGGAGTTACTGTTAGCCATGAGGTGGGTGCTGGGATTTGAACCTAGGTCTTCTGCAGTAACAGCCAATGCTCTTAACTGCCAAGTCTCTCCAGCCACGATTTTTTAATATTTTTAAAACTGTGTTTATACACATGCCACTTTACTTGTCCCCCAAAAAACTTTAATTACATATACTTGTGGAGGCAAGAGCACATGTGTGTTATATCATGCATGTGGAGGTCAGAGGACAATTTACAGGAGTTGTGAGTCCTTCTACCTCATGGGGTCCCAGAGATCAAACTCATGTGATCCGGCTTGCACAGCAAGCACCTTTATTTGCTGAGCCATCTCAATCATCCCCATAAAAAGGACTTTGTGTGTGTGTGTGTGTGTGTGTGTGTGTATTTTAAGACAGTGTCTCCCTGTACCCCTAGCTTGCCTTGAACTCACTGTAGACCTGAGATTTGCCTACCTCTACCTCCCAAGTAATGGGATTAAAGGTTTGCATGACCATGCTCAGAGCAAAAAAAAAAAAAAAAAGTTTAATTGAAGCATGTACACTTTTTTTAGACATGCTGTTGCACAACAAGACTGCAGTTTAGTGTAGATAAAATTTCTACATGCACCGAGAACCCAAAGCATTCATGTAACTCTCTCTATTGTGGTATCTGTTTATCTGGGTGGTCTAGAACTTGATTTCGAAGTTTCTAAGGTATACCTGTAATATGCACAGCACTTAGGTGTTCTACAGAAGTCCATTTCTCTCTGTGTATTTAATAATCTAAACAAAAACTTCTACAAATTAAAAGACTTGATTTAGAAATGAGTTGTCAAAAACTTATAATTAATCAAAGCAGTTGAAGTTTGGGGAAAAAAGCATAGAAAATCTTTCAAGACATCAACCAATATTCAATATTGCTTCTTGTGAAATATAACTTTGCTTTGCTTTTTTGGCATTCAGTCCTGTAAAAAGAATCTATTAGCTGCTCTTTGTCCTGACTTTTATTAATAAATACAGAGGGGAACAAAGAGATGGCTTCACACTCTCGGCTTCCTATCTATTTCTTCTTAGTATGTTCCAACGAAAGTGGAAAGGAAACCTTTAAAACCCATTTTGACAACCACGAAGATATAATTACCAACTGTAAACATGCCTGTTTGTTAAAGAACAGTCTACATTGATTCACCACACTGATTTCCCAAAGCAGATACTGTCACAAGTTCTACGAAGAGCACACATTAATGATCACACATTGTTTTAATTATATTCATGGAAGTAAATTTCTTTGGAAAGAGAAGTAACAAAGCTCAAGAAGGCCACCAGCCTTTAATCATCACACTATCAAAGACTATTTCCAGTAACTCATCAAAGGCCAACCCTGACATGATCTCAGACCAAGAAAACAATCCATCTATTGTGGTTCCCCCAAAAGGCCCATGTTAAGGGTTTGGTCCTCAGCTACTGGGTCTGACCCAATTTTAGAACTTTCTTAGTTTTTAGAAAGGTCTAATGTTTACTTCCTTCCAAAGCTAGCAAGATAGGTAATAGTCACAGAATTTAAGACTAAAACACCTGTAACTCGTTACCCATGGTGAAACCCTTACTCATAGATTTCCCCTAATTCTGACAGTCTCCAATTATTCATACACTATTACTAAGGTACACCTTACAAAAGAAACCGAAAGAAAAAAAAAATTAACTCCGGGGCTGGAGAGAAGGCTCAGAGGTTAAGAACATTGGCTGTTCTTGCAGAAGACCCGGGGTTTGAATCCCAGCACCCATATGGCAGCTAAAAACTGTCCGTAACTCCAGTTCCAGAGGATCCGACAGCCTCTTCTGTCTTCCGTGGGCATTGCATGACATGGGTGCACTTACCTACATGCAGGCAATACATGCATACACATAAAATAAAAAAATGTGACTCCCTATAGTCCCCAGAAGATAACATTTACAAATGAACTATTTTAAACTTCATACTAAGCATTAGAATAAAATCATAAATACCCATACTGAATGTAGAAAAAGATTGAATTGTCTAAGCAGCCTCTGTGTTTCTAGCAAACCTTAATTCCAAATGTGAAATACACCCAATATGTAAACTACTCTCACATAGTCAAGGAAAAAATAAAACAGACCAAACACGACTTGCCCCAGGATACAGCACAGAAAGGGGTAAAAGGCAAATTCTTAGCTGCTCTCAAGGCATAATTCTTAGCTGCTAAAAGTAAAATTGCACTGAAATAGTATCAGAATAATGGTACTTTACACAAGCTTAAGGATAAAAGAATTTTTATTTGGGGGGGGGGGGTCCTGCTCCTTACATAAGATTTAGGAGTGCTGACCAAAAGTTGGATTATTGATAATTTATCCTCAAATGAAAAAGGGAGACAAAGCATGGTAAAGACTGCTTTATTGGTAGCAGTTAGTACAAGTCAATAAATATCGATCCCCCAAGAGCTTAGTTACTCATCAGAATACTGGTCCACAGACAGATAAAGATCCTGAACCAAGTAATGATCAAAGTCAATCTTGCTTCTTGGGAAATGAAGCCAGAGCCAACTGATACATGGCATACGCTGTACCTGAAAAACACACAAAAGAACCTCTAAGAAATTCTGAGATTTAAATACGTAACCTTAGTATCTCAGCGCAAATGTTAAAGGCCAGGTTGCCTGTAAGGCGAGCTTAATGGCTAGAGATATAGCTCAGTGGTAGGGTGTTTGCTTCTCATGCCTGGGTTCCTCGGTTTGATCCCTAACACACACATGCACACACACACACAAAAACTTAATGGAAATAAAGTATTTTGATAGATGCTGAAACTTTAAATAAACTTAACCTAGTTTCATCATTAGTTCATGTCTGTAAGATGTTAGATATGGCATAATAATATTTCCTTCAACATAATGTAAACTTAAAAAAAAAAAAAAAGATTAAGAACACATGACATTTATTTCCAAGCCAGGCATGGCAGGACTTGTACTTTCAGCACATGGCAAAAGGTCACAAGGTTGCACAAGGTTGAGAACAGCTTGGGCTATGAAGTGAGACTATTTCACATGAATAAACAGAGGCTGTTTCCTTATTAACCTAATATTGCCTAAGAAATGCTAAAAATGATACAAAAGAAAAAAAAATGTCAAAATATGATGGGCCGGGGACACAGTCCAACAGTAAAGCACTTGCTTGCCTAGAATGCTCTAAATCAATTCCTAGCACTACAAAACAAACCATACAAAGCAAAAAAACAGCCAAGAACCAAAAAAGTGCCTTCCATAAGGCATCATATAAATGTAAAACCAAGGGGCTGGAGAGATGGTTAAGAGCACTGGCTGTTCTTACAGAGGACCCAGGTTCAGTTCCCACACCCACATGGCAGCTGACAACTGTCCTCTACTTCAGTTCCAGGGCATCCAATGCCCTAGTCTGACCTCCATGAGCATTACACGACACAAGTGTACTTACACATTCATACAAATACAATAAAAATATAACTTTATATAAAACCAAGAAATAAGAGACTTTAAAATAATAAAACTGAATATTAAAAATAGCTAGTACATGGAATTTTAATTTTTAAGGCAAACTACTGGAATGTCTAAGAGCTAATTCCAATAGCAAAAGTGAAGAGCAGGCAACATCTTCTGAAGAAATCTAAACCTCACTCTCTGTTGATCCACAAATGTGCCTTCTACTTTTACCACACTCAACAAGGCCAAAGAAGCCAACCTCAGAATGAGCATGAGGGCTCTGTAACTCGAGTTCAAACCCCAGTTTCACACACAGAACAAGACCTTGGGTGGTTATAACGCAGTTTCTTTGTTTCTTCATCTTACACTTTTTATACTGCTGGGAAATAAACTCGGAGAGTGCACAGGCTAAGCAAGAGTTCAACCACTAAGCCACGGCCCCTGTCCCATTTCTTCATTCTTAAAAATGAGGATACATTAAGAAAGTCACACAAGGTTACAGAAATCAAAGTATGTGGCATTCCTATCAATACAACAGACAGAAATATGAAAGTATCATTCCCCTTCCTTCCCCAAATAGCAACCTTTCAAACTCCTAACTATGCACCAATTATATCAATTTGTGTCTGCTATAATAGACCTGGCTAAATTCACTGAAAAAGATATCAAAACACTTTGCATATATAAACATTAAGTATTGTTCTGTATAATTTTTTTAGTCATAAATATGTATGTATAGGGTTTAGATATAATATTATTATTCCTGACAGTCAAAAAATGTTTAGGGGCTGGGGAGATGGCTCAGCAGCTGTGAGCACTGGATGCTCTTAAAGAGGACCTGGGTTCAGTTCCCAGTACCCACATGGCAGCTAACAACCATCTGTAATTCCAATTTTAAGGGATCTGATGCCCTCTTCAGGCCTCCACAGACACTGTACAACATGGAAGCACTTACGTACATGCAGGCAAAACACTCATACACATAAAATAAAAATCAATTAAAAAAAAAGTTTAAAAGTCCCTGCTACTGGAGGCAGGGTAAAGTGGATATTTTGATCTATAAAACTGGCTTATGAACCAGTAATGATACCTAGCTCTATCACAAGATTAATCATAAAGCTGCTCTGGTGTTATTTTTTTAGTGAATCAAAATACTCTCAACATAGCATATCCTAAAATCACACTATATGAAATACAGCAAGATGTCACATTTTGAAGATAGGCAGCCTATAGTAAACTACTGCACAGCAAAAGTAATGAAGCTGTTATCATTACTGCTATATTCCTGTAAACATTCAGTGTCTTACCACCAACTGTAAGAGCCATTGTGAGTCTATAAAGGAGGGCATCAGATGCCCCACCCTTCAGATGCACTGGGATTCCATTATCCTCCTATATTTAAAAAAAAGAAAAAGGCATTGATACATATGTTACCTATTTCCTATTAAGTTTCAAGAGTTACATCATTCATAAAAAAAAAAATAAATCCAACAGCTCCTTAAACGTCGAGAATTTAAATAATTAAAAAAAAAGTTGGGGTCTTTTTTGAGACAGGGTAGGGTCTACCTGTAGCTCCAGCTTGCCTAGAACTGCTATGTAGAGCAGGCTGGCCTCAGTCTCTCACAGAGTGCTTCCCAAGTGCTGGGATCAAAGGCTTGTGCTACCACACCCAGCAACTGCTACTATTTTAAAAATACACATTTGTAAAAGTCAGCATCCTTTGAAAGCTAATTTGAGACCTAATAAAGCTCTTTTCAAGAAATACATGAACTTTAAAGCTATACTCGACTTAAATATATATTTTAAAAAAAAATGGTCATACTTTACATTTAGTCACAGTGAAATTTTTTTTTTCTTTGTAAAAGGAGGCAGAGAAGTTTGGCTTCTGACACTAAATTATATGTATAGTCTATATTATTTTTATATAGTGTACACAATACTTTTATCCCTTAAAATTTTACTTGAGAAAAATTGCAAGTCACTAGGATAACAAAAATTATTCATAATCTAATTACTAATAAAGGTCAATTGTTCTATTCCACTAGGCCTTTGCTCACAAGACACCATGGTATGTAATGATCCACTATATACCATTTTAAAATACATTTTCTTAGTCTACTTAAATCTAATTCTTTTCAATGACTACATAGTATTCTACCATGTGAAAAATGTCCTAACTGAATTGGCCAATGCTTTATTAACATTTAGGCGGGAATAAAACCATTTCCCATTTCCTACACTTATGCACGTGTTTCTACAAAAGATTATTAAAGAGGGCTTCCTAGATGATAGGGTATGATTTGTTTTTAATAATACTTCAAACACTATCTAATCTTTCTGTCCCAAATATACCATGCTATTTTGTATGGAAATCTTGTGAATGACAGTTCCTTTCTCCCACACCTGGTGAATATAACCTATTTTAAATCCAATTAGATCAGAGGGAGTGGGGTTGCCATTCATGTTTGTTTTAAGACTCGGGTCCAACTGCTCTCACTGTTATAGAACCTACAGTTTCTCAGCTGGGAACTGGAAGGATGATGGCATAAGAGTTAGGACCATATCTTGGTACACTAATCTGGCCAAGCTACTGACAATAAATCTTTACCAGAAGAAGAAAAAGTGGCTGGCAGGAATACCTCAAAAGTGTTGGCAACTTTCATGGCCTTGAAGGTACCATGGTGTGGCAACAGGTGTGCTTCACCATCAGGGCAGGACATGCTCAGTCAGCAGTGGTCCTCCACCTCGATCTCCAGAGAAATCATGTTCTGGTTCATGAAAGGCATAGTCAAAGCCACTAATGCTTCCCAATCCACTGCTTAGACTGAGGGAGCCAGGCAGAAGGTAAGAGTCAGGGCTGTGGTACGAGCCACATTGCTCAGGAACTGAGGCACTTGCATTGGCTGACAGCTCTGGTGAACTTAATTTGCATTTCTCACTGACCTGTAGTTCTCTGAATATCAAAGATATAATCATATGTTGAAAAACTACTCTCAATGTGTCCCTTCTCTTTGCAGTGGTAAACTTTATATTTTTAGGTCATCAAGCCTCCTCAATTTTTCTCGTTTATAAAATTTCCTTAGAAAATGTGCCTGCCCCTGAGATTATTTATTGTACTCTTTCCTGCAGATACGCGCATCCTGTAACATGTACTGAATTTCTGCAATATATGTTATTTCTGGGCCCTCTGTATGGTCTATTTTTCTATTCTTTACAACCACTTCCCAAAGATGCCAATTAATCATAAATTCCTTCAAAAAATTCAAAAAGTTCCTCCCCCAAAAAAGACCTACACTTTTTCTAAGCACCTCTTGGATAAGGCAATCGCTCAGTTAGCTAACAAGAAAGTCCTTTATTATACTAGAGCAAATCCAAGTGAATGATTAACAAGCAGACACCTCTAGATTTACTTATTAAATTCTCCTTTTAGTATTTATTATTACAAGTAGCAATCGCCTATATTCAGTACCTGAAACAGTTTTTGTTTCTCTGGAACTTTATTTTCAAATTGCCTTCGTGAAGTGGTACCGATGGTCCTCTGGGCAATCTGACGAAGAGCCTGAAATGGAAGAACCACGTCCATTCAGTCTAAAGATACCTTCAAAATCAACCATTTCCAATCCTTCACATTGTGAAAGGAAACTAAGACTCAAGGGGCCGTCTGTGCCTGATGTGAACCATAAGTCTTCTGGAATCCTCAAGTAAAATACTGACATGCAGAAATAACTGAAATATAAAAAATTAACCAAAACAGACTAAGCTCAACTGTTTTCATTTCATACTCACCTATGTTTAAAATCTACTACTTGACAGCAAAATAAACCAGCAAGTTTTCCAGTTATTTTAAATGCTGCCATCATTACATTTTTAAAGAAAACAATTACTCTGCAGTGTTGGGTTGGACCCACTGTTTGCACTCCACTAAGCAGTTACACTTCTAGCCACCCAAGAAATTTTTAATGGGGCATAAAACTTGCTTAAGACACCTGCAATATATACCTACTTGAATCAAATAAATGTGCTCGCCACTTTTTAAAATAAATGGTATTGAGACTTTATTAAAACTTTCTTAAATATTACAAAAGAAAACAATGTCACTGTTCCTTTGAAATTTTGGAAAGCTTCACAAAACTCAAGCCGACAGATGTTAAAGGCAATTCACAATCTCCACTACACTTCAGCCATGAAACTCCTAACGTCTCAACCCCAAACTGACTCGGGTTTTCAGCTATCATTCGACGCCAGGTTCAGAGCCCGTGCAAACTGTGTCCTTGAACGGTCAACAGCCCGGCTCTCCGCTCGTGTTTCCGAGCGTCTGAAGTTCACCCTGGAGCCTACGTCAGAGGCCAGCAGTGGTCCACCGGTCCACCGGCGAACGGGGCCCTTCCAGCTCTTCCCGCCCTCCAGCCACCCCGCACAGGCCTGGGACGCGACCCGACCGAGGTCGGGCGAGAAGGACACAGAGCAAGGTGACCGCGAGTAGCCGGCGGCCCGAGACCGGCCCTTCCGTGGGCCCGCGAGTCCTTCCTGGCACCCCTTCCCGGGTAAACCTCAAAGCACCTACCAGCACATTCCGCAGCATCTTGACTCAGGTGCAGCCCACCAACCTCGACAACTCTACGGCGAAAACGACCACCACCACCCCGGAAGCGGAACTGCCCTGCGCCAGTCCTGCGCATGCGTCACCGAAGCGCGCGGGAGGGGAAGGAAAGGCGAGAGCTCCGGCTGGAGAGCGGCCGGGCCGCGCTGCCCTGTGCGACTTCCTCCCCTTGCGCCTCCTCTTCCGGTGCGGCGGCTGGGCCAGTGCTGGAACAAAGCGGAGGGGTTTGGGGTTTGGGGATGAGACGCTTTATGCTTAACTGGCCTCGGTGCCTGGAGTCAGAACGTCGGTGTGGCTGCACACCGCGTGGCTTTGCGCCGCAGCTTACAGGCTGCAAGAGCGGTGGCTATCAGAAGCAAGGTGCTGCAAGTTCAAAATGGATGTGAAAGCTCCTTGTAGGGATGCCCCACTCCTCGCCCGGATGTAAGCCGTTTGGGGCTTTGTTTCCCGCTGCCTAGAGTGCGGGGCGTTATCGCGTGTGTTGGAGCCTGTGCTGGCAAGAGCTGCGTTGGGGTCCAGATGTCTCTTCTCGCACCTTCAGATGCTGCACAACCCCCGGTGCTGGAAGCTCTTTCAGTGGCCTGAAAGTGGAACTGGCTGGTTTCATTCTGAGTCAGGTAAAGCTGAAGAAGGGTAATAAAATCCTAACTGGGGTCCAAGGAGTAGGACCAGCAGGGCACCACATTTGTTGGAGTCGTCGGACGTGCGAGTATTGTAGAGATAGCTGTCGGTGTTTTGCTTCATTACAAATGTCTATTCTCTTGCTCACCTTCATGTCCAGGTAAAACTATTCCAGTAGACAACAAATACCTTTTCCACCTTTTTTGCAAACTTAGAAGTGGCTTTAGTAAAAGCTAATAAATGGATTCAACAAAGATGAACTGAATAAAAACAGGTACTATTCCTTCAAATTCTCAGAAATATTTTCCCCTTGTAAGCTACTATGCTAATTTGCGCGTTACCTGACCCAGTTCAGTTTTTTTTTCTCACCAAAGTTTATAAACTATAAACACCCAATTCATTTTTTCTACCACCTCCGAATTTCGTGGTATAACCAAATCTTTAAGCATAATTACCATATATACCAACAGTTGGGCTATGAAAATTGAAAGTTTATTTTCTATCATTGGAATTTGTTAAAGTTGTGCTGTTCTCTGTTTAGCCAACTAGACGATACATTTCCCAAGAACAGAGATTGTAAAATTTACGTTCTAGCACTGCTTAATTAAAGGGGATCCACTAACAACAGACAAATCTAGAAATCCTGACCAAAAGGAATCAAGAGTTCACAATAAAAAAAACCTAAAGTACATACAGATCCTTATATTTCTGTCACTTAAGACAGTACAATTTTCTCTTTACTGAATCATTCCATCTATGTATTACCACTGTTGAAAACACACACACGTACCACAGACTTTTGATTACTATTCCATTTCTCTTCATGGATTTTTAAAAACTTGCGTGTCTGTCCTTTCTAATCTTTTTTTTCAAACCCATTTTGGGCAAGCTTTTACTAATGTTAGGATCACCAGTAACTTCCATTTCTAAATAAGCTATCAGCATCTATCAGCAACATAACACTGTTGCTTATTTCCTCAGAATATATATTTAATCTGGAAGAGAACCATAAGTGCAAACAGGATAACATGATAGTTTGAAATAGTCTGGCTTTAGCGAGCCTTCCATGCCTATTTTCAGTGATTCTCCTACTTCACTGGTCCTAGTTCACACAGCTCCTTTTAGCTTCATTCTTAGGTTCTCATCCTCTCAACATCTAAATTTGAAAGTATCTTACATTTTTCTAAATTCGTCTCTTTTGTGGATTGTAAGCTCACATTTACCCTTTAACTCAAGACGTCCCTTAGATGTCTAATGAAGAGCTTAATCTTGAAGCCAAAATGAACTTGTATTTTCCATTATTAAACCTTCTCTGCAATTTCCTCATCTCAAGGCCCAAACTTTGTTTTTCTAGCATACCCTGTAATCACTATTGATAGAATGTGTAAGTTGCAGGAGAGCCATAAACTTCCTTAAAGGAAGCCATAAACACATAAATTTCTCAGGGTGGCCAAATAGCCCAAATTTGTGGCTTAGCCTTTGATCAGGCCTTATCAACCAGTCACTTCCCTGGCTGGCAGACTGTTTACAGGGCCGACTTAACTCCTGCTATGCCAAGAGATAACATGCCTGCTCAGCCTGAGACAATAACCTCAGGAAGGAGACCTTCAGGTACCCCAAGGACACTGACACCTGACACCCAGCAAATTCCTACAGCTGCTTTCAGCAGAGTTCTTATATAATTCCAGATTGCTCTGCTTATCTTTGCTGATGCCTGTATCCGTGGATGGCACCAGCCCTTTGCTATGTTCTCCTGAATACTCTTTGCCTGTTGCAGGCCTGGCTCTGGTTCTTATTTCATAACTTTAAACTCCTTCCTTTTTCTGCCCTCCTAAGTCTAACAACTATAATCTGACTACTTATGATCCTCAACACTACCACCACTGCAGGTTGCATTATCAATATCTCCTGCTTGGAGTTTTGCAAAACCCTTTTTATTTCCATTTTGTTTTGTTCAGTGGTATATTTGCCAGCACCCAGAATAGTGTCTGGCACATACTGGTTAGATGAAGAGTATACTGCACAAACAAAATTCATTGAGTGTAAAAGTTCAAAAAAAGAAAAAACCCCTAACATTTGTTGAACAGTATTAACAGAGCAGCATTTATACAGAGATATAGAAAAATTTGTGATAGACATCCAATGTTAAAGTACTAAGGAAAAATATTTCACAATCACTAATGTAGTTACCAAAGCAGTTACACAGTCCTCTCCTTTAAAAAAGAGAAACAAAAAACATAGCAGCCCTTACTTTGACCCTGTCTAAAAAAATCAATCAATTCTCTCTCTCTCTCTCTCTCTCTCTCTCTCTCTCTCTCTCTCTCTCTCTCTCTCGTTTTTGTTTTTGTTTTTTTTTTTGTTTTTTTTTGGAGAGAGAGTCTCTCTATACAGCATTCAGTCTTTCATTCATGTTCTCAATGAGTTCCTTGAACATATTTACAGTTACAAATTTGAAATCATTGACTTGTGCATCAGCTAGGCTCTAAAAAAATCACTCAATTCTCTCTCTCTCTCTCTCTCTCTCTCTCTCTCTCTCTCTCTCTCTCGTTTTTGTTTTTGTTTTTGTTTTTGGTTTTTTTTGGAGACCGAGTCTAACTATGCAGCCCTGGGTTGGATGCCTAATCTTTTGATTTGATTATAGTAGGTACAGCTTCAGCTTCATGTGAGGTTTAATATATTAAAAACTACTGGTGGCATAAAAGACAATTCCATTCTTACTTTGCCACATAGTTCATTCCATGGATCACTTCTGAAAATCGGGACTCTTCTTAGTTGATGTATTATTTATTATTAATTTGTCTAATTGTGTGACTCAGTTTGGGGCTAATAATATTTACCTATGGTTTAAAAGTCCTTATGTATGAGAAACAATTCCATAAATCATATGAACGTCACTTCCTACTGAACTATAAACTTACTGGCTACTTACTAATAATGCACAGTTAACAATATGCTGGAGGTTTTTGTTTCCTTTTGGGGGGTTTATTTTTGGGTCTCACTATGTAGCCCTTACTTGAGGCTGGGGATATAGCCCTGTAGTAAAGCACCTGCCAAGCAAGCATGAGGCCCAGAATTCAATCCCAGCAATGCAAAAAAGAAAAGTGGCATTACAGAGGGCAAGCTGCATCATCTGTACCTCAGTTTCTTTATCCTTCAGATGAAAACAGAAGAATATTGCTATAAAGATTAAAGGAGACAACTCTGCAAATATTAGCTATTACTGTGGGAAGAAAAGCTGTGTAAAAAGAAATGAATCAACAAAGTAAAACTCCAGGCAGATGGTAGGGCACAGAGGCAAAGAGAAGTGAACAGATGAGTGTCCTGGGGAATTGTAAACAGTTTGGCTTGACAAAAGGACAAGCAGAGGAGGCTGTTAACAGCAGACGGCTAGTTTCCAGGACAAATTTAAATATTTTTTGGGTTTTTTGGTCTTTTTGAGACAGGGTCTCCCTGTAGTCACAGCTGACCTGGATTCACTGTGGAGACCACGCTGGCCTTGAACTCACAGAGATATGCCTGCCTCTGCTTCTGGAGTGCTGGGATTAAAGGTGTGTGCCACCATACCCAGCTCAAATTTAAATATTTTGAAGGTTACTTAAGGTCATTCAAAACTTCAAGACCCACACACTTAGAATGTGAATTGCATTTTAAGATAATTTTAGTAATAATTGAAGGCTGGATAGGGCATAAGTCATTAAGGCCAGAGAGTCAGAAGATTCCTGTAATAATCCAAGGAAGAAGGAAACCTGAATATAAGCAGTAGCAAAATGATGGAGATAAAAGTGTCTAAGTGGATGGGCAGGACAGTCCATTAAGAATAAGTACCTTGGTCTTTAATCCCAGCACTCAGGAGGCAGAGGTAGACTGATCTCTGGGAGTCTGAGGCCAGCCTGGTCTGTAAAGCAAGTTCCAGGCCATCCAGGGCTACATAATGAGTCTGTCTCAAATAAACTAAACAGAGAAAGAACCTTGAAAAATCAACAGAATGTGTGATTTATTTAGATTAGGCAACTGAGAAGTCTGGGGTTTCTAAATTAATTCATAACAGTTGATCATGCCAATCCATGCAGAGTAATGTAAGAGAAAGCCCCCTGGGCAGGGAGTGTATGTAGCCCAGTAGATTCTCCGTACAACCACCAACATCCATCCCACCAACAACAGAGAAGCTCCAGGTTTGTATGGGGTAATTACTTTGGGGGAGTTATTAACACCTTCAATTCAATATTAACATTTAACCTTTGTTTCACACACACGAAGAGCCAGTGTAAAGATGGTAGTAGAAATGGTAATTTAACAATCGTTCAAATGTATGAGAAAGCCGAGCATGGTGGTGCACGCCTTTGTTCCCAGCACTTAGGAGGCAGAGGCAGGTGGATATCTGTGAGTTCAAGGCCAGCCTGGTCTACATAGTGAGTTCAGGTATGCTGGGACTACAGGGAGACCCTGTCTCAAACACACACACACACACACACACACACACACACACACAAAATGTAT